GTGGAGCACCGAGAACAAAGTGTGATGTTTGACCTTCATGGTGAAACCTGCAAGTGGAGCTTCCAGAAACAAGAGTAGCAGGAGCAGCGGGAGCAGAGTGTCGCTGCACGACGAGGCTGCTGGACAGGAACGGTGGCCAGAGTTAAATGATGTTTGATTTAAGGTTCAGACTGAACATCTGGAGGAAGAATCTGCAGAAGCTCTAAACACTCTGAAAGTCAACGCCTTCTCTAAGTTTTCTGCAGATTTTCTTCTAAATTTACCTCAAATGGCTCAAAATTCCTCAAAAATGATGAACAGAAGAACGAACAACCAGGATATCAACAAATAACAACAACTATAAAACTAATAACATGGATATTAACGGACAACGTGTCCATATTCTGGATATTAATGCACCTAATTGTTAATAATTTGGATATAAACATATAAAAGTGTCAATAACATTATTATTACCACACAGAAGTATCGATACCTGGATTATAAGAGTTGGTAACCAGGATACTAATGCGTGTAAAGTTGGGTATCAGTGGAGAAAAAACGTCAACAGCCTGGATTATAATGCACCAAACTGTGCATTTTAAGGCAATAAAGTCTTAAAAATCTGGATATTTACAGATGAAAGTGTCAATAAGAGAAATGTTAACCAATTAAAGTATCGATAATCTGGAAAATGATGCACAAAAAATGTTGATTTATGCACCAAGGGGTCAATAACGTCATATAAAGGTGTTAAACACACTAAAATATCAGTAACCTGGATATTAAACAGTAGCCTGGGTATGAATGCACCAAACATCTAAATCCTGAACATGAACAACCAAAAGATTAAGACGTAAAAGTGTCGATAACCTGGAAACAGCAGAGCTCGGTTCTCTTTGGTGAAACCTGAAATCCAGACGCGTCTCAGAGAGCTTGTTTATTAAAATTACACCAGCCTCTAAATTAAAGCGTTCAAACTGTGCAGAACGCTGTGAAATTACGACGTATTTAGTTTCCTGTGGAGCGCGATGAGAGCGGCGGACCACCCTGCAGACGCCAAATAACAGCCGCTGGAAACAACATACCTGAGAGCAGAAAGGCGCTCGGTGCTGATGTGACTGATGTGCTGTAATCACGTAACTATCAGTGTGTCTCATATGAAAGAGCTGCAGTCGACCCTGAAGACAAAACCAGTCACGCTTCAGCGGCCGCTCTGTCTCCTGAACACATGCATTTTACATCTCAGCCTGCAGACCAGTCGTCTGATGCAAACAGCAGAATCAGGATTCGCTGGTTTGGGGATCTGCACATCAAACAAGTTGCTCTCTGTAGCAATAAAATGCTCGTGCAGCTGGGATTGCACTCATCAGACGTCTGCACACCTTTCTGGTGACCAGCAGAAGCATCTCAGTCAGGAAACAAACAGCAACACAAACCTCGCTCCTGCAAAGTCACACAAGTCAAAGGTCCTTCATCAGGGGAACTAAACCTGAAGAGGTGCTTTCAGACGGCGTTTGTATTTATTTAGACTGGACCAGATGTAGAGGAACATAATTCAACCCTCTGAACAGGGAAACTGTTTATCAGTCAGGAACTGTGACGTGTTGTTCTAAAGTGTTCAAAAACCTGAAACCGATGCAGCCAGTTGGTGCCACAGTTACTGAAACAAGATCATCTGAGGTCAGTGATTGTTGTGTAAAGACTGGTGTATGTGGAAGGTCCAGTCACTGGTGGATCAGAACTCCTGGATAGAACCACACCATGAAGACTGAAGAACCCTCCAAGAACTCTGTGGAAAGGTTGTTGAGAAGCATCAGTCAGGAGACGATACAAGAACATCTACA